ATTCTTTAGCACCTTAGAACCAAGTGGGCCCCATTGTTCCCCAAACTAACTTCCACTTGCCCTTCTTAGGACATCAGGAAGCAGACCCTAATTGTTCTGAAATATAATAAAGCAACCTTTCTTCAGGCTATTATGAGCTCCTTCTTACACCCAGGGGAATCACAAGTTCCTTGTTTGCACTTCCTAGTTTCTTATTTGCAAATCCTGTCAAGAAACTAGTCTCTTATGGATTACCAGCAGAATTCTACCATGTTTTTGAAGATCAAGTGATAATACCTTCAAAGTATGTAATACAGAACATAAGAGCAAAATGTAAAATACCAGAAATTTGGAATGACGCATTAATAACAATGATACACAAACCAAACTCAGATGAGAAAGAAATTAAAAACTACAGACCAATTTCATTACTAAATGTAGTCTATAAAGTCTATGCATCTATCTTAGCTACAAGATTGAAAAAAATATTGATACAGATAATCCATCAAGACCAAGCAGGATTTTTACCAAAAAGACAACTCAGAAATAATGTTCAGTCTTGAATGTAATTGAACATTTTGAAGCACACCCAGAAAAACAAATGGCCTTGATTTTTTTTTTGGATGCTGAAAAAGCATTTGATAATGTCCATGGGAGTTTTATGTTGGAAGAATTGGTAGATTCACAATGTGGTAAAGAATTTTTTACAATGGTTAAAGCAATATATACTAAACAACATGCAATAATTCTCATTAATGGAGATTTATCACAAAATGTTGAAATACAAAAAGGAACGAGACAAGGCTGCCCACTCTCAACATTATTGTTCATATTTGTTCTGGAAGTTCTGAATGATACTATAAGAAAAGACAAATACATCAGAGGACTTAAAATAAGAAGAGGGGAATATAAACAACAAGCATTTGCAGATGATCTAGTATTTATTCTAGAAAATCCATTGGATTCAATTACACAATTATTAACAACACTACAGAAATATGGTCAGGTTGCAGGATTGAAGATCGACTTGACTAAAACAAAAATATTAACAAAAAATATGACTAAAGATCAAATCCAGCACCTAAGAGAAAAATCAGGCTTTGAAGCACAAAAAAAGAGTGAAGTATTTAGGTATGAATATAACGAATAGATGTAGCTCTCTGATGAAAGACAATTATATGGAACTCATGCAAAAAATCCAAAAAGATTTGGAAAAATGGAAAAATTTACAAATATATTTGATGGGCAAAATAGCCACAATAAAGATGAACATCTTACCAAGACTGATATTTCTATTCCAGACAATTCCAATTCTTCAAAACCAGCAATATTTTAAAGAACTTGATAAACTGATGACTAAATTCATATGGCAAAACAAGAAGCCAAGAATAAAAATGAAGGTCTTACAAGAAAGAGCTGGATTTGCTTTTTCTGACTGGCTCCTATATTATAGAGAAGCAACCCTGATGTGGCTAAAAGAATGGATTACACTAGAAAATACTAGATTGTTAACTACAGAAGGACATGACCTACTATTGGGCTGGCACACATTTTGATAGTATGGAAAATCAGATGGACATAAATATTTAAAACTCCATATTATTAGGAAATTCTTACTGAAGGTATGGGAAAATGTAACAAGATTATTTTATACCAAGACTCCCAAATGGGTTTCACCACTCGAAGCTTTCACAAACCCTAATTTATTTCAAAAAAATATGCTGTTGAGCGAATTGACAAATTGATGCATCCTGCGATTGTGCGGGGTGGATGACGGCTCCTTTTGACAGTTTGGGCTCTCTTTTGCCCAATGCAGCAGCCCCCAGGCAGGGGGTCTGACCAGCAAGCATCAAAGTCCAAGTGGAAGTTGAGATCGGCGTGATCAAGCCTCGGAGAAGGCTTGTTTCATGCCTTGATCCCCTCCCACGAAGCGGGCGTTTGCAATCCAGCACTCAAGGAGCCGATCGGGCTGGAATACCAGCATAAATCCGTCATTTCCCGATTTCTTAACAACGAGGAACTAAGTGAACTTATAAGAAGCAATGCGAAACCCAGAATAAACATGCAAGGTAACAAAGTCTTTTCGTTTACCGGGATCAAGTTGTAACGAAGTTTGATACATGCGGACAAGCGCAAAAAAACTTTAAAAAATCAATCTGCTCATTTTCGCATTAAAAAGAACTTTCTAAAGTGTAAAAATAAGGGAAAAGTAACTTTGTTTAACATTCCTGTGGCTAAAGAGAGATAAATGGTGGTGCCTAACTTCGAAATAGACGAAAAAGCTCACAAGACTGCTTTGGTTGGTGTTACAGTAAAATCCTTCCGGATGGAAGTGTGACTGTGAAAGACAAGAAGAGAGCTAGAGTGGGCACGGAAGGTGGCTGGTCGGCCGAAAGGAGATCGGTAAAATAAAGAACTGTACTGTAAGTTCGTTTATTCGGATGGACAGGAAACAGCAAGGCAAGAAAGTGCCTACTCTAGCCAGAAAACCATAGAGAAATTGCGCCCGCCATTTTGAGGAGGACTTAAACTTTAAACATATTTTTCAGACCGAAAATTAAAGTTAAAAACTGCAGAAAAGAGGTGATTCGTTTAAGCGCATATAGAAGAGTTGGTTTATACCAGAGTCGACAGTGAGTGAATTTTGAAAGCTTCAAAACGGATCTAAGACAAAGACAAAGGGCTGCATCCACATCAAGTCCAAGGATGGCAGGAAAGGACAAAAAAGAATGGCAGGCTGTGATTGAAGCGATGGAAAAGAGAATGTTGGAGGCAATTCAAGCATTGGGAAAGCAGATGGAGCAGCAAATGGAAAAGCACTTGGAGCAGCTGGAAGAAGTACAAGAGAAAAATATGGCAGCAATTAAAGATCTGGTCACAGCAGAAGTAACAGAAGTCAAGAAAGATATGGCAGAGGTCAAAAAAGAAGTTCAAGGTCTGGCAACAAAGGTGACAGAAATGGACCAAAAACACAGAATATAGGGGGGGAAATGGAAACAGCAATACAAGAAAATCGGAGACTAGAGTCAATGATAGAGTATAGAGGTATGCAAAACCATCTGAGGCTGAGAGGCATTGAAGAAAAATTTGATGAAGATATATGCGAGGTAGTGAAGACGGCTTTGACAGAATACTTGGGAGGAGATGAAGGAGAGATGGATTCGGGATTTGATTTAATTTACAGAGTGAATTCAAGATATGCCGAGAAGAAGAAGCTACCAAGAGATGTGATTGTGCAGTTGGTGACAAGAAAAATGAAAGACATTTTTAAAAAACAGTTTACGCAACCATTAGAGATTGATGGTAAGAAGATAATAATAATGACAGAACTTCCAAGGGTGATTTTACAAGAAAGAAGAAAATATAAGAAATTGGTTGATAAATTAAAGCAACTTGACATCAGATTCAGATGGGAAATAACACAAGGACTGTCCTTTACCTATCAAGCTTTAAGGTATACAATCAAGACGGTTGAAGAATTGTATAGGTTTAAGGCGGACAATATTGAAGAATTTGGAGAAATATAAGACAAGACACAATGGATTACAAATTTTTATCTTGGAATGTAAATGGACTTACCTCGCCTAACAAACGAAAATTAATAAAACATTGGTTAGAAAAACAAAAATGCAATATAATTTGTTTACAAGAAACGCATATTAGAAAGCAAGACTCTAAATTTCTTATTAACAAAACGTTAGGAGAAGAATTGTACTCTTTGGCAGCCAAAAAGAACAAAGGAACTGTGATCTATGTTAAAAAGGAATTGGAACCAAAAGAAATTTTTAAAGACACAGGAGGAATATATATTGGAATAGAAATCACGATGCATCGAAAGAAAACTTTGATAATTAATGTGTATGCACCTAATGGTGTGAAAGAATATTTCTTTGAGGACCTTTCAAGAGAATTGGAACAAGTTAATTATGAACAGATAGTATTGGCCGGGGACTTTAATGGTACTGTAAACAACAAATTGGACCGACAATCAAAAAAGACTGATAAGAAGATTGGAAAATTGCCAAAGACTTTCTTTAAAATAATAGAAGAAGAAAAATTGGAAGATGTATGGAGAAAATGGAATCCAAAAATTAAAGACTTTACTTTCTATTCCAACAGACATAATTCTTTTTCCAGGATTGATATGATTTGGATGTCGGGAGAATTGGCATTGAAAACAAAGAAGGTAGAAATTTTGCGAAGGAGTGATTCAGATCACAACCCGTTAATCTGGATGTCAAAAGAGAAGAATAAACAATTCCAGTGGAGAATCAATGAGGATTTATTAGATAAGAAACAAATTACTGAGGTGTTACGTAAGGAAACACAGATTTTCCTTCAGACGAACTTAAACCAAGGAACGGCAATCCAGACTGTATGGGATGCTTATAAAGCAGTAATGAGGGGATTACTCATATCGATAAATGCAAAAGAGAAAAAAGAAAAGTTCAGGAAACAGACGGAATTATTAGAGAAGATTCAACAGAAAGAAAAAGAGTTAAAGAAAAAATCTGGGAAAAAGAAAATTATTAAGGAATTACAAATTTTGCGAGATCAATTGAATGTGATGTTAAATCAAGAAATGTATTGGAATTTAAAGAGACTGCAACAAAAATCATTTGAGGGAGCAAACAAACCAGGAAAGTTTTTGGCATGGCAACTGAAGAATAGAAGAGAGAAAAGGGTAATTAACAAAATAATAGAGGATAATAAAGAAATTGTAGATCCTAATGAACTTAAAAGAGTATTTTTTAAAATATTATGCAAATTTGTTTCAAAAAAAGTATATAGATTTGGAAAAAATTAAAAAATACTTGGATGAAGTAGAGTTACCAAAGATTCAAGAAGCAAGTAAGGAAATACTGAATGGAGTAATTCAAAAAGAAGAAATATTTAATGCAATAGAGGAAACAAAGTTAGGGAAAGCTCCGGGACCAGATGGATTTACTGCAAAATTTTATAAGAAATTAAAAGAGGAGCTGACTCCGATTTTGGAACTTTTATCAAATGAGATAAGGGAGACTAAAATAATACCGGAAACGTGGAAAGAAGCTAATATATTACTTATTCCAAAAGAAGGTCAGGATTTAACAAATGTGAAGAATTACAGACCGATTTATCTTCTTAATAATTACTATAAATTGTTTGCCAAAGTAATTTCAGAAAGGGTGAAAATGTATTTAAAAGATGCTATAACAGAAGAACAAGCTGGTTTTTTTTACCAAACAGACAAATTAGTGACAATTTAAGAATGGTGATCGATGCAATAGAATATTATGACAAACATCCAGAGAAAGAAGTTGCCTTTCTATTTGTAGACGCTGAAAAAGCCTTTGACAATTTAAATTGGGATTTTATGTTTCAAGTCTTGGAGAAAATGGACATTGGACAATTTTTTTTGAACGTTATTATGGCAATATATTCAGACCAAAAGGCAGCGTTGAATGTGAATAAAGAAATGACAGAGCATTTTAGAGTACAAAAAGGGACAAGACAAGGCTGCCCGCTATTCCCATTATTGTTTATATGGATTTTAGAAGTATTGTTGGGGAAAATAAGAGAGGATAAAGGCTTTTCTTATAAATACAGGGCATTTGCGGACGACGTGATGTTTCTAGTTGAAGAACCAAACAGCAATCTACCGTTGTTGATGGAAAGGATAAAAGAATTTGGAGATCTGGCAGGATTTTATGTAAATAAATGTAAGACAAAAGTGTTATGTAAAAATATGACAAAAGAGAAGCAAACGGAATTGCAAGAATCAATACAGTGTGAAGAGGTCAAAAAGACGAAGTACCTGGGAATCGAATTGACAATGAAAAACATAGATCTATTTAAAAACAATAATGAGAAGCTTTGGATTAAAATACAACAAGATTTGAAAAAATGGGACACTATGAATTTGTCACTGCTGGGAAGAATATCGGTGGTTAAAATGAATGTTTTACCTTGTTTGATGTTTTTGTTTCAAACCGTCTTGATAGTAAAGGAGATAAAGGTGCTGAACAAGTGGCAGAAAAAAATATCGAAATTTGTGTGGGCGGGAAGAAAGCCGAGAATCAAAATGAAGATTCCATGTGATGCAAAGGAAAGAGGAGGATTCCAGTTACCCAATTTTAGACTATATCATGAAGTGGTATGTCTTATGTGGATAGAGCAGTGGATTAATTTAGACAATAAAAAATGCTGGCTCTGGAAGGACACGATTGCAGGTTTGGCTGGCATGCTTGTTTATGGTATGAAAAGACGAAGATGGATAAATTTTTCAAGCATCATTACATAAGAAGATCACTTTTCGAGATGTGGATGAAATATAAAAGATTTTTCTTTGAAGCAAGACCACTCTGGATAGTACTGGCTGAAGTAATTACACCATATTCAAGACATAAAGGCGAAGATTGGATACAATATAGAGATGTTTTAAAAATAGAAGGGAAAAATTTTGTGATGAAAGGGAGGGAAGAGCTGGACTTTGAATATGATTGGTTAAATTACAGGCAGATTTATGACTTATTTAAGACAGATAAAAAACAGTATGGGTTCAGGGGAGA